TTGATCATGATCAAAACTTTTGTTGCCTTATTATTACAAGGGCATATTTCCCAATCCCTTTTTTTATCCAAAGTTGTTCAATTACTACGATTTAATAGAACTGCTTTCAGTTTATGCACGTCTACTTATATTAATCTTCTTCTTCTTCTTCTTCTTCTTCTTCTTATTATTATTATTATTATTATATATGCATATGGGTATCTCAAACATGTCACTAGGGAAAGAAATTAATGAATATCGTCTGAATTCAAAACTAATCAATATATTTTTCCTAGCCTTATTGTAAGAAGGCTGATTTTTTTTAATATTAATTGTAAAATTACATGGAATATTTAAACAGCCTAAAGCTGTTGGCAGTTACATTAGTTTCAAATACCAGCAGGCATAATGATGACTTTGAAAACAGTAGTCAAACAACGTAACTTTCAAATTCCGATGACCTTTTTGACCAACAAATTTGACCAAAAAAAAAAAAGACCAACAAATTAAATATATGCCTATGGCCTAGAAAGCAAGATCTTGCACGCAATAATGTGAGTCCTCATTTCTAACTTTTTCTGGTATGCCAATGAATACTGGTTAGGTCCGTAAATATGTTTCTATTTGATAAAACTTTCCAAATTTGTTTGTATTGAAAAACAACGTCTTTACATTTATACATCATTCTCACTTTTTCCCTCGTTTATCTCTTTTCAATAAAAATTAAATAAAGATAAAATTAAAAAAACAGCTTGTGGCTAGCATTTTTTCCCCCTGCAACTAATTTATAATAGGGACCCTAATGGTAATCTATACTTAAGGTATTTTGGGTAATATTAAGAATAATCAATGTATTTATCTTGAAAATATATCCACTAAAATAAACAAATTACTTAATTACGTACTCCTCCGGTCCTTATTATAAGACCCCATTTGACTTTTTATTTGGTCCTAATTATAAGACCCCAATCCATTTTGTCTCTTATATTTATGCATTTTTTTCCAAGATAATCCTTTTAATAATGATAGTTTTAGCCAATATACTTAATTAGCAAGGATATTTTAGGAATGACAACACTTATTTATTATAAATAACCAACTTAACTTACTTCCTTAATCTCCTCAAATAAGTCAATTGGGTCTTATAATTAGGACCGGAGGAGTATTAAATTGGTTCTTACCCTGTAAAGAGAGTCAATTTTATTTAAGAAACAGTATTTTGGAAAGACTGAACTGTGAGAGTTAATTAGTTAAAAATTTATTATATAAAAATAAAAAAGGGGGTACACAATAATAAATAAAAGCAGTTTATCAATAAGAATTGTTTCAATTAGTAAGGAGTTCAAACATAATCTACAAAGTTGAGTTTAAATTTCACTACTAATATGAGGATTTTGTTGGTAAACAATTTGTAAGTACTCACCTTCAATTGTATTTTTCTATGCTTATAACCCTCTCAAATGGAGTTATACAAACCCTAAATTATTTGAAAATAAATAATAAAAAAATAATACAAATTTCAGATAGATCTATTATAGTTTAGGATTTCGGAGGTTTTGTATATATATGATATAGAATTCAGGCCCTCATGGGATTTTGCACAGTTCAACCTAAAATAAAATATTTTTTATATTATTTATAAATAATCTCTTTTTATGATTTCTGTTTTGGAAAAATCTCTTTTAATATTTGTTTTATATTATAAAAAATGGTCAATGTGCACACTGAGATAACATTTTCTTTTGCTGCATGTGAATGCTTCTTGGACGGTAGTAGTAGGATACACAAAAACGAAAGTTGCAACTTGCAATCATCTTTATCCTGTTTCCAAGTCCAGAGATTCGCTGTCGGCGAATACTGCTCATATAAAATATTAAGAAATTTAAAATAATAGATACACCAAATAATAATTTTGGTTACTAGACACATAGCAAAAAATAATTCAAGGTGTTGGATTCATCAAAGTATAATTTAGAATATTAAATGTACCGTAAAATACTTTGAGATATTAGATTTATGTCAAAAGATACTTCAGATTGTTGGATGTATACTTTTAATCCTAAATATCATAATGATCTATAAATATGTGAAATTTATGTTCATATCAAACTTATGACAAATGATACTTATAAATGGTGTGATTTATTATATATGCAGCCAGCCACTTAATTATGTTGCTAAATTATTACTATATTTTTACCTAATAAAACATGTAAGAGAATAAGAGATTAAAAGTTAGAATATAGGAAAAACATTTTTCTAACCAAAAAGAGACATTAAAGTCTGAAAACTTTGGTCATAAAAGGAAACTCCTCCACTGCTTCTTTCTTCATCTTCATTCTCTGCACACAGAGCAAACCAGTCTCGACAAAAGATGCTTCAACGTCCTAATAATCTCCTTCCCTTGTTTACCTTTTTCATATTCCTCTCATTCTGGGACCTTAACGGCGTCGTTTCGGATCCGCAGACCAATCTTGTGAGCAGATTCTGCAACCCCTACGATGGATTGCTCGTCTCCAACATCTCCATCTTCGATGAAAACCTAAACGCAACGTTGAGAGACATCAGAAAGCAGATTACTGAACAAAACAAGCACTTCGCTACGGCGCAGGAAGCCAATGGAGGAAACCCCACTGCCACACTTTTTCAGTGCAGAAACTATCTCTCCGTCGCTGACGACTGTGTCGCCTGCTTTGATGTCGCCGCCGTGAGAATTCACAGTTGCGCTGCTGGGTCCCCCGGTGGTTTCGTCGTCTATGATGGGTGCTTCCTCAGGTACAACTAGCTAAGCAACAAGTTCAATTTTTTTCTTTTTATGAATAGTAGTTTAATTATATAATTAATTGCGTTTAGACTATTATATATTACTACTAGTTTGGTTGTTACTAATATCTCAATGAACTTATGGAAAGTCAAGTTATGAGCACTAGTCAAGTAGCTCTGCACGTACATGTAATCAAAGCATCAAATAAAATATACAAAGGACAGTATTATAATTATGATACAATAATGCATGTAAATATCCATAATCTTTCGCAAGTAAACAACTAGGTTTTAATTTAATAGCATGCTAATAATTTCCTACAACCACCAAAGTTGGATGGTCGTTATGATTTATTTAATTGCAATACCTATATATATAGCCTCTAATTGAGAGTTCTATATTGTAGCTTTATGCTGATTAATTTTTCTTGTTTATCTAGATCTAACTAAGTTAATTAGGACTGTAATGAGAATTATTTTTTTTATTTCTCTCTAATATACTCTGTTGAAATATTTATTTTTTAAAAATATATATAAATCTATAATTAACCGTTATGTATAAAATAACTAACTTCACAATTTGCGGGGGTCTTATCCGCTAAATAAAATTATACTTCACTTACATATTCATAATTAATATATAGTATCTTTAATAGCATATGCTTTTTTACCATGATTATATTTTGACGTGGATAATATATACAATGTTAATTAGAAGCAGTCAATGTTAATTTATAACCCACAAGCATTAGCTCCAAGGGAAGGAGCTTTAGGTGCTTAAATAATATAAGGTCTTAAGTTTGAGCTAGTGTGAAAGTAGAAAAAGCCTATGAGTTTGCTACTCTCAATTATTGGACTTTGTAATGCTCAGATATGATTTACTAATAGTGAATAACGGATAACTGCACAAACTAATTAAGTTAATTTATAGCAAAAATCAATCAAAATGCGATTCAAAACCATAAAAGCATCATCCCATAATTAGCTTAATTTATAATACAAGTCTAGCTAAATGATACATAGAGAGAGGATGCTTACTGCTTTGTGGGTGTATTAAGGTATGATGCGAGCAACGCTTTCTTTGGTGAGACAACGCCGTCAATCAACAGTGTAAGATGTGCTGGGAATCAGACTGCTGATGGAGAAGCCACTGCATTTGACTCAACAGCTCAACAAGTCCTAACCAATCTCCAAACCAGAACACCCACAACCACTGGTTTCTCTGCAGCCACAAAGATGCAAGTTCCCGCTAATAATAATAATAAAGCTCCAACTATTTATGCTTTTGCTCAATGTATTGAAACCATCACTCAGAATCAGTGCCTCAGTTGCTTGAATGCTGCGTATAGAAATTTGCAGACTTGTTTTCCCAATTCGGATGGTAAGGCTTTTGCTAATGGCTGTTTCATGAGATACTCCACCACATCCTTCTTTCCTGATAACCAGACCTTTCACATTGTACCCTTGATCAAACATGGTACAGTCCCTTCCTCAAATCATTGACAATTTGCTTTGCTTATGTGTAATTCTGAATCCCTCAAGTAATATATTAGGTCTTATTTCTGTGCCTGATTCGACGTGGATATATATATATATATATATATATAGCTGCACATAAAGATTGGCTCATTTGAAAGTGAGTTCTCTATATATGTTTTGTGTCTTGCAGGTTCAAATAATAAGAAGGGGGCCATTATAGGTGTAATTGTTGGAGGAGTAGCTTTTGTTTTGATCCTCCTTGCACTATTAGCTTGGATTAAACGCCCAAAAAGGCCTGAGAGATCAGTTCCTAGAGGTGAGCATCTTGGAAAGTCTTGTATAATTTTGTAATGATTTATTATCGTGATGCTTTGGTCGCATTTAATTTTCACTTTTAAAAAAGCTGGACTTTAGTTCATCTCTATGAAGAAAGGAATTCCTAACTGCTTTTTCTTAATTTATGAAGACACTTAACTTGACTAATGTTTCCCTTGACAGGGGACCTATCTGGAGTAAGTAAGTTGAAAGGCCCAATGAATTTTAGTTATAACGAGTTGAAATTTGCTACTAAAAATTTCAGTGCCGAAAATAAACTTGGGGAAGGAGGATTTGGAGCTGTATATAAGGTAACTATATATTTTGATTTTCAATATTTTGATCTAGATTGTGTTCCAATGCAAGGACGTTCCAAGGGAGTACTCTCATATAGGGCTGTAAATAAGTAAAATTTCTAATAATAACGCTTTCAGTATTGACATTCTTAATCCTCATATAAATAGGGCACTTTGAAGAATGGGAAAATAGTTGCTGTAAAGAAATTAACTTTACGCCAGTCTAAGAAGGTGGAGGAAGAATTTGAAAGTGAAGTGAAGCTTATAAACAATGTTCATCATCGAAATCTTATTCGGCTTCTTGGGTGTTGCAGTCAAGGCAATGAGAGAATTCTTATTTATGAATATATGAAAAACACCAGTCTTGACAAATTCTTATTTGGTATATTTTATCAGCCAACAAAGCTTATATATAGTTCTTTAATCTTTAGCTATTGAATTCCTTTATAAACTTATATATAAATGCTATTCTTCTCCTTCAACCTTTGTGTGAATTTGTGAAATAGGTAAAAACAGAGGTTCTCTTAATTGGAAGCAGCGGTATGATATAATTTTAGGAACAGCAAGGGGTTTGGCTTATCTACATGAAGAATTTCATGTTCGTATCATACATAGAGATATAAAAACCAATAATATTCTCTTAGATGATGATCTCCAACCAAGAATTGCTGATTTTGGTTTAGCAAGGCTTCTACCTGAGGAGAAAACTCATCTTAGCACAAAATTTGCAGGAACATTGTAAGTCAAAATATAAACTGCATTTTTGTGATATTCTAATAAGAATTCATATTGATAACACACATGATGCACCACCTTATGTTGTACATGTCTATTTCATATTCAAAATATAAGCTATCAATTACAACAAATATTTATATGCTTTTCAGAGGATACACGGCCCCAGAATATGCAATCCATGGTCAATTATCAGAAAAGGCTGATATTTATAGCTATGGCGTTGTAGTCTTAGAAGTTATGAGTGGTGAACGAAGCAATGAATTGAATTTTGAAGGCGAATTCCTCATTCGAAAAGTAAGAAAATTTCTCTGATTAATTAAAAAATGGCAGTTTCACCGGAGAAAGTTTGAATGCATTGACTGTTTTAACCACACAATGTTTTTCTATGTCTTGTTTTCCATTCTTATTGCTTTTCCGTTTAATTCACTTGATAGGCTTGGAAGCTATATGAGAGAGGCATACACATAGAGTTGGTGGATGATACCTTGGATCCTAGTGATTATAATGCAGAAGAAGTGAAGAAAATCATAGAAATTGGTCTACTTTGCACCCAAGCATCTGCAGAATTAAGGCCATCAATGTCTGAAGTAATTGTTTTGCTCCAAGGCAATGACTTATTAGAGAATATGATGAAACCCACCATGCCTATCTTGATTGAAACTTAATTGTATGGGTCCCTGTGACCCATCTCTACCATTACTGCTTCCCTCGTCAATCGCCAAGCCCATCACTTTTTTAGCAGACTATTGTATTTCCAAGAATCTGTGGCTAAGCGTGATATTTCTACCCTTACCCAATTGTCAACAAAGATTTCAAGCAAGAAAACACATATATACATACATGCATGTGTGCGCCCCCCACCATTAGGCTAAGCCAACCCCATGAAGCTATATGATCCTTGACAGCACATAGAAAACAGTAACTGGGAAATATACCAAAAAATGAAAAAAAAAATAATTGGGAAAATTCAGAATTAATTCATCATTGGATTTGAAAAAAAATTACTGTCAATTTCATTCACTGACATGGTCCTTTTTAGTGCATTTCTCTGCACTACGTTTTCGTTGTAATTTTGAGTTTTTTAGATTAAATTTTAACGCTACAAATTAATGTCCATTTAAAAACTAGTGCATTTTTACGATGTCAAAAGCTACCGAAATTTCATTTAAGTTATTCCCACACAGTGATGACATGTAGGTTGAAGAAATGTATTGTACGAGTTAAAAGCTGATAGAATTAATAAGGGGTTGACTCATAATCTACAATATTAGGAGTTTAAATCTTAATGTGAGGGTCTTGCTGATATATGATTTGTTAATACATTATAAACGTTTTTTGAGACTGGAGGCATGCCTTGATTTTGGTAACCTCTGGAACTCAACTCACCGGAACTTACTTGTATTAAAAAAAATGTATTTTATGCTAACCAAGAACTCACAAGAAATTTTATTTTAAAAAAAGTATTCACGAGAAATTTATATTGTCTATAGGCTATGCTTATATTTCCAGTTGTCCGCCGGACGTATTTCATTCTATTAATGGGACACTCGCATCTGTAATTCACTAATCCCAACGTAGAGAGTGAACCATAATTTCTTTGTTTTTTTTATATAAAAAAATTTGGATGAATTGGCTATGAGAACTTATTAGAACCAGGGCACACAGGACCCAGATTTCCTTGGTGGAGCATTATTTCTTTTTCTTTCGCTAAACACAGTTATTTTCTTTTATTGGAAAGTGGTGCATTATACTTGGTTTGTAACTTCCAAAAATGAAGCCCAAAAGAGTCGCCAATGCAATGGGGCCGGAAAGAGCCCAACGTCAAAACAAACCAAGGATCCGAGTAATGACTAATGAGGATTGGAAGAGCCCATTAATCATGGTTGCTCTTCCAACGTATCACTATCAATTGCAAAATGAAATATTTTATTATAGAACTCCTTTTTTTTTTTTTTCAGATTACACGTCTAAAAGTGTTTCTTTTCATCAATCATCAAAATACTTTCATTTTATTAAAATATATTACTTATGAGGAAGCAAATTACAAGCCAACATCCAAGAATGAGATTACAAGCAAGCTAACGTAAAAATCACATTCATTTACAAATCTTGTAAATATTAGAGGTTGACTTGTAAATAGTGTATGAAAAAGACTTATAAATAGTCATGATATTTAAATATCAAAATTTTATTAAACTATTATATCAAAACGATAATAATATATTTTTTGAATTACTCGCTAATGCTGCCATCAATGATGGTGATTTGAGGATCAGAGACGTCGGCACCTGATCAAAGTTGCCTAAAAGAGTTGGTCAATATAGTACTTTGGTCTTCTTCTTTTTTCTTGGGAAAATAACAATAAAAGACCCTTGAAATAGTAAAACAGCAAAATGACACCTGAATAAAGAAAATTGCGCGGACAAACCAAGTCCTGAATTGCAATTATCAAATCAAACTCAAAAGACCAAAAAAAAAAAAAAAACTTCTTTCCTTCTTCTCTTCTGATTCCTCTCCCTCTCATATTCTTTCTCTTTCTACCCCCGCCCTCTGTTCTTGCGTCACCACACCAACTCTTCTCCCTCCTCCTCCACTTCTTCTATTTCACGGCGACGGCTACAACAAGGATTGAAGCACTCATAGTGGCAAACTCAAGATCTTCTCCCATGGCTTGTTCAGTGAAGGTGAACTCTGGATCTCTACCTTCAACGTGTTACAGACCCTTCGAGTTCTCAAGCTTCCATGGCCTATGATTTATGTTCACCATCAACAACAATTTCAATTTTGATTTCCATTTCATTTCCAAGAGGTTGAAAAAACCAAGTGGAGGGAATGAAAACCGTGGAAGGTTCGATGAGTTCTTATTCAATTCATTTGCATCTTCTTCATCTAGGAAGATGACTGTTAGTTCTTATACTAGACAAAGAGAGACAGATGATACTCATTTTGCTTTTTTTTTTTTCTTTTAATACTAATTCACCTCTTTCTCTTCTCCATGCTAGAGAAGAAACAAGCTGATGATGATCAATGATAGATACTTGGTATTGTACCGAGACTTTTGGGTTTTTTTTTATATTTGAATTGGTTTGTTGTAGAGAGAAAGTTTTGGTGATGGTGCTGATTTTAATCAAGTTGTAAACAGTCTATGATAGATTTTTAGTTTGGGTTCTTGAGATTGACAAATGATGTGCTTATTAAATGAAGAATTTTACTCATTTTTACGCTTTGTTTAGACAGCTGGTTTATCAGTTGAGTAATGCATATGACAAGTTTTGATAAACAATTCATAGAAATTTAAGTTTTTGTGTTAAAATAATAGAATTTTCACAATTCTTTGACGAATGACAAGTTTAGTAAGGTCAATGAAAAGTTCAGTAACGCATATAACAATTTCTGATAAACAATTCATAAGAATTTAAGTTTCTATATTAAAATGACAGAATTTTCACAATTTCTTAGCAAATAACAAGTTTAGTAAGATCAATGACAAATTCAATAATGTATATGTTAAGTTCTGAAAAGCGATTCATACAAATTTAAGTTTCTGTATTAAAATGACATAATTTTAATAATTTCTTGGTGAATGACAAATTTAGTAATGATATGACAAGTTCTAATAAGTAATTCATAGGAACTTAAGCTTCTGTATTAAAATGACAGAATTTTCACAATTCCTTGGCAAACAACAAGTTTAGTAAGGTCAATGACAAGTTCAGTAACACATATGACAAGTTATGATAAACAATTCATAAAAATTAAGTTTTATGTTAAAATGACAAAATTCCCACAATTTCTTGGCGAATGACAAGTTTAGTAAGGTCAATAACAAGTTTAGTAATACATATGACAAATTTTAATAAGCAATTCATAGGAATTTAAGTTTCTATGTTAAAATAATAGAATTTCCATAATTTCTTGGCGAATAACAAGTTTAGTAAGACGAATGATAATTTCTAATAAACAATTCATACAAATTTAATTTTCTTTGTTCAAATGACAATTTCCATATTTATTTAGAAAATGACAAGTTCTGATAAGCAATTCATAATAGGTTTAATAAGACGAATGACAAGTTTAGTAAGGAAAATAATAACTTTTAATAAGCAATGCATACAAATTTAATTTTCTCTATTCAAATGATAATTTTCATATTTCTTTAGTAAATAACAAGTTTTGATAAACAATTCATGACAAGTCTAGTTAGATAAATGACAACTTTTTATAAGCATTTCATACGAATTTAATTTTCTCTATTCAAATAACAGAATTTCCAGATTTTTTTAGCAAATGACAAGTTTAATAAAGAAAATGAGAGAATTTCTGTGTTTTTGTCATTGTGTTTCTATCACCATACTTCTAATTAAGTGGACAACATTAAATAGCTCTACATTGTTACAATATAGAACTGATTAACAAAGCTAATACCATTAACTTTGTTTAATTCAAAAACTAACATTATTTTCATATTTTACTCGCTAATAACAAGTCATTATTGAGAAATAACAATAATGTTATCACTAATAACAAAAAATTAATATATCCATGACATCAACTTTTTCATATATTTTAAGAAAAAACACATCCACTTTTTTTTTATCGTTAGTGACATATATATGTAAAATAACAACATTGTTATGCCCATCAACAATATATTATTATTTTCGGAACACCTTATAATGTTGATACCACTATATGTACATAGTCTACAATTACAAAATTTACATGACAAATAACAACATTATTATAACTAATAATAAAAAATCAATATAGTTATGATAACAATTATTCTTGTAATATTAAATAACACTCTAATCCTCCTCAACAAAATTAAATATTGAGTGTAAAAAAAAAAAAAAAAGCAAAATGGCGTGGGGACGTTGGGGGATAAAAGAGGGGGGTGGGAATGGGAAAGGGTCGGGGATGAAGGGAATGAGAGGAACATGGAGGGGCGACGAAGGAGCGAGAAAAGAAAAGTGGGTAATAATGGTCTTTATTTTTTTAATGGATGAGGGTATTTTGGTCTTTTTCTTAACATGTTATAAGTTATATTTAAAATCTGGTCCCTAACATCAATTTTATAAATTGGAGTATTCAAATTGTAATTTTATATTTTTAAGGGTCTTTATCTGCTTTTTTTTTTTTGCCAACAATACTTTGATCTTTTATATACATATATTTATATAAGTAAAAAATAATGCTAGTCTCTTATATCTTAAAATATAAAAGATAAAATAGATTAAAATTTTATATTTAAGATCAAATTAAAAATCAAATTAATTTTTATATTAAGATAAGAAATAATCATTAATTTTTTTAATCTATTTAAATTAATTAACTAATTTTTATATTAAACAATAAAGTTAGTGTTTACCGGGGGAGGAAAGGGCTGGTCAACAATTGTTGGTGCAGCTTTTGTTGCCTCCCCGTCTAATTGTGAGCCGCCGAATTTAATGTTGGTGTCTGGCTATTGTTTGGAAACTCCGTAGTCTTCCACCAATTGTGTCCTGCCACATGGCTGTCTTCGACCAGGTTCTTCTTCCTTATAATTTTTCTGATGAAATTCTCACTCCTCCCTTGTCGTTCGTTTTTAAAGCACCAATTAATTGGTCAATGTTTATAACCTCTCTTTTCCTCCTTCTTCACCATCATCTTCTTCTTCATCCAATCCATCGCAGCAAAAGATGCTTCGCCCTAATCTTCCTTTTCCTTTAATCATCACCTTCATCTTCTGCTCATGCTCGATTCTTGATGGCGTCGTTTCAGACCCACAGGCCAATCTTTTGACCAGAGGATGCAACCCGTACTACGAATTTCTGGTGCCCAACGTCACCATCTTCGGTGAAAATATAAACGCGACGTTGCGAGATATCAGAGAGCAGATCAGTGACCAAAACAAGCACTTCGTCACAGCACAGCAAGCTGCCAATGGTGGAAACACCGTCTCTACACTTTTTCAATGTAGAAGCTATCTCTCCACCGCCGACTGTGTCGCCTGCTTCGACATGGCAGCCACTGACATCCTCAGCTGTGCTGCCGGTGACCCTGGTGGCCGGGTTGTTTACGACGGCTGCTTCCTCAGGTACAACTACTTTTCCTCCAACTTCAAGTTTGACTTCTTTTTGGTATAGTTAACGCAGATAATCTTATCCTAGTCTTTATCACTTCAATTTTCTGTCTGACTTTCTGCCACGCCACCAACGCCAGTTTTTTTATTTTTCTTTTAATAGACCAGTGCCGGCTTTTTATGTCTGCAATACGCAACGTAGACCACTTATGTGCGTGTTTGGATTAGCTGTAACGACAACAGTATATTTTCAATGTGATGTTTGGATTAGCCGTAAAAATAACAGTATATTTTTAATTTGATTTTTAAAAAAATTAGATCGAGTAAAAGTTAAATTGAATAATATAATTTATGTTTTGATTGAATTTTATAAAAGTTAGTTTGTAAAAGTAAAAAATTGCTTAGATTATAATTAAATAAGTGTAGTTTGTAAAATTATCAAAATAAGTATGACTTTTATTAAATGATAAAAAATGATAAAAAAAGAATTTACATACTGTAATGAATTTAAATTATTTTAATGTGAAGAAGTGTAATTTAATGACTGAAATATATTTTAAAAAATTAGAAATTTTATTTAAAAAATTTGTAAAAAAATCTATAATTCAAAAAAATTACAAATATTAAAAATACATAATTAAGTATTATAAATTATAAATAATATGTTGGCAAAAAATAGAAACTATAAATTATAAATAATAATAAAATTTAACTGGGGTTCTGCCGCATTAAGCCTGTCAACTAGTGCAGTGGGTGATACTTCCTTTTCGTTTCCCGCACACCTATCAAGATGCGATCAGACTGCATAAGCCATGAGCACAAGCCATAAGCATCAAAATCATGCGATTTAGGGCAAAAGCTCTTATTTCTTTTTCAGTTGTTCCAAACATAATGAAAAGACAAAATCTGGCTAAAAGCATCTTTTTAAGATTCAAACATGGCTTTTACCCCTCTAAACTTAACGCAGTTCCAAACACTGCCATATATGTTCTGGTAATATGCACTTTAAAAACTTACCGTTTTTATCATTATAGAACATAATATGCTATTGATCAAAATAACCCCTAAATTTTATATTGGTGTAGATAACCCTTTAGACTTTGAGTCATATAAAAATAAACCCTTGTCATATTATATTATTCGAATGCAAAAAAAAAAAAAAAAACAAGAGGTTAGATTTATGATTTTGTGTAAATGTAAAAATTTAGGCATTTTTAAGTACACTTCACTAAGGTATATGCTAGAAAGTAATCATCAATATATTACATAAAAACAAAATAATAATCCATCATTATTCACTCAATCTTAATTGACTAAGCTTGATTTTTGGCTAGCTAAATCAATCAAATAATACTCTGTGTGATGTGTACAGGTACGACATTAGTAGCGCGTTCTTTGGTGATACAACACAGTCTATCAACAGTGCATCATGTGGGAATCAGACTACAACAGATGAACCTGCTTCTGCAGTTACCTCAGCTGTTCAACAAATTCTGATGAATCTCCAAACAGCAACCCCCACAATCACTGGCTTCTCTGCTGCCACAAGGACGCAACTTCCTAATAATGGTTCAATTATTTATGCATTTGCTCAGTGTATTGAGACTATCGCACAAAGTAAGTGCGAGGATTGCTTGGATGCTCAGTACAATAATATGCAGACTTGTCTTCCCAGTTCAGATGGTAGGGCTTATGCCAATGGCTGCTTCTTGAGATATTCCATCACTTCCTTCTTTCCTGATAATCAGACCATTGATATTGCACCCTCCTCCAAGCAGCAAGGTACATTGTTCTTCAGATCATTTATATCACACTTAGCTTTGGATGCATTTGGATGGCGAATTTGAAGTATCATATGTTTGTGTGTGAGTGCTTTTTTTTCCAAAGGAATGTTTAATACTCAAGAATTATAACTTCTTATTATGTGAAGCAGTGACTCTTAGTGAATGACTATTTCGAAAATTTATTCTATATTTTCCTGTTTTTTAGGTTCAAGAAATAATAAGGGAGCCATTATAGGTGGTGTTGTTGGAAGCGTAGTAGCTCTTGCTTTGATCTTTCTTGCATTATATGTTTGGATTAGACGAATAAACGAACCTAAGAGGGTTCCTAGAGGTGAGCATGTTAAAATATCTTCATCTATTATATATTAACGATTTAATTCGAGGCTTTTGGTTTTCTCTTTTTCCCTTGATTTAAAGAAATGAATCATTGATTTTCTTTTTTTTATTTAGTAATTTTTGGAGAGACCTTTTCTAACATTCTCCTTATGTAGGTGAGATAATTGGAGGAAGCAAGTTGAAAGGCCCAACTATTTATAATTATACGGTCTTGAAGACTGCAACCAAGAATTTCAGTGAAGAAAATAAGCTGGGAGAAGGAGGGTTTGGTGTTGTATATAAGGTAGTTTTATTTTATTTCTCAATATTTTAATCTTGATGAGCAAGGATGTCTCGAAGTGATTTTTATATAAAAGGCTAAATTTCCAGGAGAACTAACAATTTCACAATGATGAACAGGGCACTTTGAAGAATGGCAAAGGAATTGCAGTGAAGAAATTAACATTTCGCCAGTTCAACAAGATGGAGGAGGACTTTGAAAATGAAGTGAAGCTTATAAGTAATGTTCATCATCGAAATCTTGTTCGGCTCATTGGATATTGTACTCATGGCAAGAATAGGATCCTTGTTTATGAATACATGAAAAATAGCAGTCTTGACATTTTCTTATTTGGTAAACCTTCTATCAATGCCTATATCAGTACAATCTATATCTATCTCCTAAAAGTTTTTAAAGGAGGAACACTTCTATGTTTCTTTTGATGTTTCTGTCCCTCTTATTCAAAATGTGTAAACTTGAAAATAGGTAAAATGAAAGGCCGCCTCAACTGGAAGCAACGATATGATATAATTTTAGGCATCGCAAGGGGTCTAGTCTACCTACATGAGGAATTCCACATTTGTATCATACATAGAGATATAAAACCTAACAATGTTCTCTTGGATGATGATCTTCAGCCAAAAATTGCTGATTTTGGATTGGCAAGACTTCTACCAGAAGACAAGTCTCATCTTAGCACCAAATTTGCAGGAACATTGTAAGTTGAAACAATTACATTTGTCTAATTTTCTCAAACTTTTATTATACTACATACTCATAAAATCTATACATATAGTTAGGTCACTAGATAGAATAATATTGTTACATTGATATATACTTTTAACTTCTTTTTACTTTGTCTTTCTAAAACCTAAATACTTAAAAAAAGAGCGTGTATATCTAGCGAAACATGATTTTATGTTGTTAATCTCTATTTCATATTTTGTCATCTCTTAAAATTTATGTTTTTGTGTTGTGTCATTACGTACATTGGTTAATTAATTGATTATGTCATAAATATCATGTCCATGTTTTAGAGGATACACAGCACCAGAGTATATAATCCATGGCCAATTATCCGAGAAGGCTGATGTCTATAGTTATGGTGTTGTAATCTTGGAGATTATTAGTGGCCAAGAAAGCAAGGCACTGGGAGTATATGGTGATATTGAAGGCGAATTCCTCCTCCAAAAAGTAAGAAAGTTCTCATGGCTAAATAAAAAAGAGGACACATTTTAAAGAAATTTTGGATAGCTTTTCCAACAACTCAACATTAATTGATTGACTTTATTGGATTATCTATTCCTTCTTCATTGCAAATAATCCAATTATAGATATTTAAAAAACACTAATATCACTTTCACATTGCCTTTTGTTTTTTTTTTTTTTACCTCTCTTATTAAATTTCACTTTGATCCCACTTGTTAGGCTTGGAAGCTATATGGAAAAGGCATGCATGGGGAGCTAATAGACAAGACCCTAGACCCTATTGATTATGATGTAGAAGAAGTAAAGAAAGTCATTGAGGTTAGTTTGCTTTGCACCCAAGCATCTGCTGAAATAAGGCCAACAATGTCCGAAGTTGTTGTCTTACTCCAAAACAAGGACTTGTTAGAGAATATGAAACCCACTATGCCTGTCTTGATTGAAACAAATTAGAGCTTCCGCTTCTCCTATTGCTTCCCCTTGTATATTACCGTCCGCAATATGCGATGTATAGGAATCTGAATTTATGGGTGATTTTGAGTTTTGAACACCAGATAGAAAAAGTAATGTGTAGAGGACGAAGGAGAAAACAGAAGATGATCGTCTTTCATTCCATTTTTTAGCATTTGTTTGTAATTATTCTTCAATCCCGGTAAGTGTGTGTGTGTGCACTAATTATATAAAGCATCTGATATGAATTTTATTTAAAAAAGTGACATCAATTATGCATTATATTTTTTAATTGATAAATCTAATTTAACTTTATAACTGATATGAATATTTCGTTGATATAATTATTTCTCATTACATTTACATATGCTAATAAAATTTGTGCTCTAAGATCAAGTTCTTCTTCTAAATGCTAGATCAAGTAATCTGACCAAATTATGTGCAAGAGACGGCAACACAACATGGTTTCTGATGAGACAGAATCCAAAGTAAAAACTCTTTCAATGAATAAAAAAAAGAGTCAATTTAATTCATTTTTCACACTGGAAAAACTACGACATTTCCTTTATGAAACAAAATAATGTGGGTATATTACAGCATCAGAGATGTTAAACTAGACTTGCTTCTCCGTATATTACATGGACTTTGAAAAAATGAATCATATTGTATTGTTCATGAATTGTGAATAATGTAGCCTGCAATAAAATTTATATTTTCATTAATATTGACATTGATCATAGTGATAATTTCAAATTGAATAATACGATCTCTGGTTCTAATTATAAGACTCTGTTTTAGTTTATAAACAGAGTCTTATAATTAAAACCGGAAGTAATAATAAATTAAAGACTTCCCAAGTTATCTCGCCTCTTCATTTGACCGCTCATACAAAACAAATGATGGGAGCCCAATGCTAATAAAATCCACCGAATATTGAAACCGAAGGGACTGGGCCCGTGGAGACAGGCTTGCAATACGTTGCTGAGCCCAATAATGTGTTGATGAGTTATTTGGGTAACAGGCGTTTCCATATGCCTATTGCTTAGAACTTGTTTAGAATCACTTAAAAGCATATTTTCAATCATAATTATAAAATATGAGGTAAGTATACAAGGAGAGTTTTTCCTTAATTTATATAAAAGTGTTTAGGAGTGCTTAAATCACAGCTTCAAACAAGCCCTTAGCCAACACCACATTACAAACACTATTATCATAGAAAAGAAAGTAGCTCATTGAAAAGTTTATTATAGTAGAAAAGAATCAGCTATACTTTGAAATCGCAAACCATCCTAAAAGAGTCACCAACTTATATCATTTGCAAAATGCTATCATTGTGAAGAAGAATTAAATTCATTGCACTTCATGAAAATTCATTTGAAAGCATACATACACACTAATAAACATGGTAGAGAAGAGAGAAGCCTCAGATAATAAGCTGCCATGGTGCTTTGTCTTATCCGATAAGTCAGAGCCAACAAGTCCAACACAATATTGAATTAATAACTACCGTTGGCACTTATAGCATCTCCACATGGGTTCTGCGCCCAACCCACAAGCCCAACACAAATCCATTCACATTGGGGCCGGCTTGTGATGATCAGTGGTGATGGAAGTATAATTTTCAACTATGTCGGGAATAATCCACAAGAGTTGGATCTAACCAAAAAAAAAGTTAGTCCCTCACAATATGGGGATCTAAAATGCTAATTTCTATTGAGACATGCATTCATATTTAGTATGTGATAATATCTCAAATAAGACTATTTCTAATGAAATAATACCAAAAAAAGAATCTAATTGGGCATGTGATTTGCGATGGAGATACCCATTAGGACCCTCTCCTCCTAACGGGGGGAAAGTCAATGTTGATGTAGCTTTTTCATTAGAAGTAGGAAGATTCTGAGAGGCTTTATGTATCTGATATACTACATTCGGTACTTAATATAAGAGTTAATTGACTAATTTAAGTAAATTAAGAAAACTAGTTAAGTTAGTTATTTGTAATAAATAGGTGTTTTTTCCCCTAAAATATCTTTACTAATTAAGTGTGTTGGTTATAAGTACTATTACTTTAATGACTGTTTTGAAGAAAATAGATAAATATGACAAAACAAGTGAATTGAGATCTTATATTTAGGATTAAATAAAAGTCAAATGAGCTCTTATATTAAGGATTGGAGGTAATATTAAGCTTGAAACTGACGCTACAGCGACTATAAGACTGGGGCAGCAAGAAGACGTGGGATCCCATCCTGATGAGGGTTTAATTTAATTCTCGAAGCAAAGGCTTTAATATTGATAATTGATCAAAAATGATCATTTCAAATCGAATAAGAAATTAATTAAAGACTTCCTTACTTACATATCTCACCTCTACGAACCCTCTTGGACAACTTGACCTCCCACACAAAACAAATAAATGTAAGCAGAATCAAAATATATAAAATATGCACCCGCAGCCACTGCACCAATAATGGCCTTATTTAATTTCCTCCTACAAGTGGCAAGAATTAAAAAAGTGGAACTTGTTTAATTTCCTAGTGCTACCTCCTATTCTAATTATAAGACTCTGTTTATAGACCACAAATGAGGTCTTATAATTAAAACTGGAGGTAATATGGATTTACTTTCTATAGGGGTCCATGGCATAAACTCATAAAAGGCTGGCTTCTATATATCCACTGTACACCCATATAAGATGTAATATTTTAAGTTTTGCGTAATTAAATATATCACCTCCACTCCACACACACGTACCCACAGAATATTATATTTATGGCATTTGCTTCGCGTAAATTCATATATATATATATATATATGTATTGATATTGTTTGAGAATAGTATATCTTTTTTCATACACACACACTAGCTAATTTTTTTGTGTGGCGTGCGGAGTAAATCATGCTTTAAAAGTTTTTGAAATTAAGAATATATTTAACATTTAAATTACTCCTCCAGTCCTTAATATATGACCTAATTGTTGAGTTGATTTTGATCCTAAATATAAGACTTATTTCCTCAAATTTATCAAATTTTCCTAAATTATTGCTATGAATACTCCCTCAACCATAATCAAGTAAGTGAGGGAGAGACGATATTAAGGAAGATGATTATGATGTTTTAGGAGAAACATGTCATATCTTTTATAATTAACTATCTTACCTAACTTTTTTAATGTAATCAAATTAGTTAAGGTCTTATATTAATGACCGAAGAAGAATGTAGAAGTTAAATAAGATGCGAAAAATTTTTAAAATTGGAACAGAGAACCCACTGAAATTGTGGAAAAATAATGGAAAGAAAAACGTTGCATATAGGCTAAAAAAATTACTATTCCTGTCTTATGAATAATATGACTCTATTTATGCGTTATATCTTAAATTGAATAGTAATTTAGTCAACAATTTTAATGCAGAAGCACGTTTGCCCAATTGATACAAGTCAACGGAGCTGGATTACTTGTCCTTTCTATTCTAATAAGGATAGGAACTTAAGGGAATTACTTGTTCTTATTATAAAATCCTTACTTATAAAAATGGGACCACAAGATTGTATCAATTGTCTTGATAGAGCCCTTGTATTCAACCATGAACACAATCCCACAAGAATTAACTCGAGTACTGGAGACCGGAGAGCTTGGAGTAATCCAGTCACATTAGTTGATCTTTGTTATCATTTTATTACTTGTCATGACCTATATACTTGCGACATCAATATCACTACCCTCTATGTTGGAACAGAAGAGTACCTATAACTATGTATGCCGAACATAATGTTGGTGTCTTGTTTCAGAGTGCGCCATTGTTATGAAATTTCATAGTCTTCGACTAAGAGTTGTGGGTCCCTCAACACTTTCATAAATTGCACTGTCCTCTCTCATGGGACAAATTGCTAGCGCATCCTTCTTCAAGAATTTGAAACATGAGGAAATGTGAAGACCCACCGACACTTAGGCCACATGGCAGACGTAGACCAGTTTTTTGTTCCTTATGATTTTCCGATGAAATTCTCATTCCTCCTTCGTCGTTTCCAAGCACCAATAGATCAGATACCTTCCTTTGCTCGATGGTCATATATATATATATATAAATATATAAATATATATGTATATAGCCTCTCTTTCCTTCTTCATCTTCACTCTCTCCATATCCAGACATACATATATTTCCATCCAATCCATCTCAGCAAAACATGCTTCAAACTAATATCCTTCCCTTAATCACCTTCATCTTCTGGTCAAGGTGGACTCTTATTAACGTCGTCGTTTCAGACCCACAGGCCGATCTTCTAACCGATTTGTGCAACCCATCGGCCGAATTCCTCGTGACCAACGTCACCATCTTCGATGAAAACCTAAATGCAACGTTGCGAGGCATCAGAGAGCAGATCAGTGATCAAAACAAGCACTTCGCCACCGCACAGCAAGCTGCCAATGGTGGAAACACCGTCTCTACCCTTTTTCAATGTAGAAGCTATCTTTCCGTCGCCGACTGTGTCGCCTGCTTCGACGTGGCGGCCACTCAAATCCTCAGCTGTCCTGCCGGCGACCCTGGTGGCCGTGCTATCTACGACGGATGCTACCTCAGGTACAACAGCTATTCCTCAGGTTCAAGTTTGACTTTTTTTTTTAATTACCTTTTTGAATGGTTAAAGGAGAGATAAGATATGCAATGCTCAAACTCATCGCCACTACTCCAGCATATTCTTGGTCTATATATCTCTTTTTGATGACTTTCCGCCACGCCCCCAGTTTTTGTTGTCGGGAATGGTTTTTCTTCGTATAAATTAATATATTTATATGAAGGGTTATGTAGGAAGTTAAAACATTAAATGACCTACATACTAAATTTATTGTATTTATTTAAATTATGTTGGTTCATGAACCAACATATGGTGGTGACTTTTTATTTAATAAGGTTTGATTCTAAAAGATATCTCTTCAAGGCATTATTCCATGGTCTATATAAACCCTTCACTATCACTTCATTTGCATACAACACAACACAAACACTAAGATCAAACTCATTGTCTTTGTCTTTGAGTACATTCAAAGATAGAGTCAAATTATCACTTTGTAAAAGCTATTGTTGTCTTTGCTTGAATTTTGAAAGTGCAATCCATATTCAAGTGTCTTTATTGTATCCTGAAGGAAATTCATCAGTTAACCCAACTTGCACCCTAAAAAATAGGAATAGGTGGAGGCGAATTAAGCCTAAAGGAAAGTGTTGCCCACGTCTTGAAGACATCGGACACCACTTTCTTCTTCATCTCTTCTTCTTGTACTCTTTAGAGAACCATTTCCGCCAACAGTTTTTATGTCTTTACGATGAAAACATGCAACCATATCATGTTATGTTATTTGACAAATAGAGCATAATATGCTATTGATCAAATATATATCCTCTTTTTTTTTTGGGCAATAGCCTTTTTAGACTTTGAGTTATATGCAACAAAAAAAAATCCTTGTCATATTATATGAGGGACAAAAAGAGTAGTTAACGATGGTAAAATTATTTGTATAAATCTAAAAAGTTAACGTTTATTGTAAAAATATAATTTAGGAATTTTTTAAATATATTTCACAAATATATATGTATATATATATAGAAAATAATCTATTATGAATATAAATATAACAAGAGAGCTCAATCCAGAAAGATTAGCTTATTAGGTGGAAGAGTGCTGTAAACTTATAAGCCCTACTTCTCTTATGAGACTTTGTGATATGAGATTTAACTATAACATGATGATCAATATATTACATAAAAATAAAATAATAATCCATAACTATTCATTTACTCTTCATTGACTAAGCTTGATTTTTGGCTCGCAAAACCCATAAGAAATACTGTGTGTTGTGTGAAGGTACGACATTAGTAGCGCTTTCTTTAGTGACACAGCAGAGCCTATCAATAGTGCATCATGTGGGAATCAGACTACAACAGAAGAACCTTCTACTGCATTTACCTCAGCTGTTCAACAAATTCTAATGAATCTCCAAACAGCAACTCCCAGAATAAGTGGCTTCTCTGCCGCCACAAAGACGCAACTTCCTAATAATGCTTCCACTATTTATGCATTCGCTCAGTGTATTGAAACCATCACTCAAAGTAAGTGTGAGAATTGCTTGAATTCCAACTACAATAGTATGCAGACTTGTCTTACCAATTCAGAGGGTAGGGCTTATGCCAATGGCTGTTTCTTGAGATATTCCACCACTCCCTTCTTTCCTCATAATCAGACCATTGATATCACACCCTCCTTCGAGCAGCAAGGTACGTTGCTCTTCAGATCATTCATGTCACGCCCATCTTTGGATACATTTAGATGACAAATTTGAAGTACCATAAGTTTGTTTGTGAGTGTTTTTTTCTTTCAAACGAACGTTTAATTCTATATGTTCCTGTTTGAAGTGAATGACTTCTTGGAACATTTGTTTTATATTTTCCTGTTTTTTAGGTTCAAGCAATAAGGGAGCCATTGTAGGTGGTGTTGTTGGAAGCGTAGTAGTTCTTGCTTTGATCTTTGCAGTATATGTCCGGAGTAGACGACTGAAAAAAAGGTCCAGGAGGGTTCCTAGAGGTGAGCATATTAAAATGTCTTCAACTATTTTATAGGCTTCTGGTTTTTCCTTTTTCCCTGCATCTAAAGAAATTAAACTTTCATTTTTTTTCCCGTCTTGACAATTTTGGAAGAAGAGACCTTGATGAAAATTCTCCTTAATAGGAGACGTAATTGGAGGAAGCAAGTTGAAAGGCCCAACTATTTTTAATTATCATGACTTGAAGACCGCAACCAAGAATTTCGGTGAAGAGAATAAGCTAGGACAAGGAGGATTTGGTGTTGTATATAAGGTAACTTTATTTTATTTTCAATATTTCAATCAAGGTGAGCAAGGTTGTCTCCAAGTTTGGTTTTTATAGTGTTGTAAAAGGCTAAATTCTCAAGAAAGCAAAGACTGAAAGCACTTTCTCGATTAAATATTTTAATAATGATGGATAGGGTACTTTGAAGAACGGAAAAGAAATTGCAGTCAAAAAATTAACATGTCGCCAATTCACAAGGATGGAGGAGGAATTTGAAAATGAAGTGAAGCTTCTGAGCAATGTTAATCATCGGAATCTTGTTCGACTCTTTGGATATTGTATTCACAAGAAGACCAGAATTCTCATTTATGAATACATGAAAAATAGCAGTCTTGACATATTTTTATTCGGTAAGCTTCTTTCAATTAACGAAACTTATGTACTGTTTTTCATAACATTGGTGACGTTAACTTAACAAAATATCATCATCTCTTACTACAACAAGATTATTCTTATGCCATACTTTTATTGCACTAAGTAAAATCGATATCTATTTTCTGTTTAATTTTTTTTAATCGAAGAAGACTTCTTTGTTTCTCTTGATGCTTTTAACCCTCTTATTCAAAGTGTGTAAACTTGAAAATAGGTCAAATGAAAGGCTCGCTCAACTGGAAGCAACGATATGGTATCATTTTAGGCACAGCAAGAGGTCTAGCCTATTTACATGAGGAATTTCATGTTTGTGTCATACACAGAGATATAAAGCCTAATAACATTCTCTTGGATGATGACCTTCAACCTAAGATTGCTGATTTTGGATTGGCAAGATTTCTACCTGGGGACAAATCTCATCTTAGCACTAAATGTGCAGGAACATTGTAAGTTAAAGCAATTATAGATAACTTATTGATAAAATCTATAGTTCTGTCACTAGTACAATATTATTACACTAATAAATCTTATAACTTTTCTTTATTTTCAGCGAAATGTTATATTATGTTGTTAGTTTCTATCAGTTTCATATTTGTCCTCTCTTAAAATTTATGTATTCATGTTCTTGTCATTGTTTTGGCTACTTAATTAATTATGCCATACATATTATACATATTTGCAGGGGATACACAGCACCGGAGTATGTAATTTATGGCCAATTATCTGAAAAGGCTGATGTCTATAGTTATGGTGTAGCAATGTTAGAGATTATCAGTGGGCAAAAAAGTAAGGAACTAGCGATCAATGGTGATAATGAAGGGGAATACCTCCTCCAAAAGGTAAAAATTTTAGTTTACCAATAAAGGTAAGAAAAAATTTTCAGGCAAAAAAAAAAGGTAAAAATTTTAATGGTTTAATCAAAAGACACTTTTTTAAATGAATTTGGACAGCTCTGTCAGCAACTTAATATTTGATTGATTTTATTACAATATCTAACCCCTCCTTACTTCAGATCATCCAACTATAGAATTTTTACTTTTGGCCATTTTTACTCAATCATTTCAATTTAATATCCACTTGTTAGGCTTTTGTTTTTTTTTGACCTGATCCACTTGTTAGGCTTGGAAGCTATATGAAAGAGGTATACATGTGGAGCTAGTAGATGAGACCTTAGACCCTAATGATTATGATGTCGAAGAAGTGAAGAAAGTCATAGAGGTTAGTTTGCTTTGCACCCAAGCATCTGCTGAAATAAGGCCAACAATGTCCGAAGTTGTTGTCTTACTCCAAAACAAGGACTTGTTAGAGAATATGAAACCCACAATGCCTGTCTTGATTGAAACAAATTAATTAATTAGAGATTCCTCTTCTATTGCTTGCGTTTGTATATTACTATCCGCAATATGCTATGCGCAGGAATTTAAAATTATGGGTGACTTTGAGTTTTGAAGAACCCCAGGTAGAAAAGGTATAATGTGTGTAGAAGACGAAGGGGAAAATAGAAGATGATGATTGTCTTCCATTCCATTTTTCAACATTTGTCTGTAATTACGCTTTCAATTCTAAATGTAAGGCCCATTTTATAGTGTAAATTATACTATAAAATAGGTATTATATTTAGGACATGAAGAGTATTATTCATCAATCTTGACAAAAGTAACATCAACTATAAGGCATTTGATATGATTTTTATCTTAAAATAGCGACGTCAAGGATGCATTTTTTTAAATTAATAAAGCTAATTTTATAATTGTTTTGAATATATTATTTATTTCTCATTAAATTTACGTATGCTAATAAAATGGTGCCGTTATATCAAGTTTCTCTCCTAAATGCTAGATTAAGCAAACTGGCAAAATTTTGCGCTAGAGGCGGCAATTCCACATGGTTTAAGATAAGAGAGAATCCAAATCCACATAACACTCTCAAGCATGAGGGGCGGCTTAGCGTACAAGACTCTTATTAGGTGGGATTCGGAAAACGACAGATGTACATAGTCTTTCCTCGACAACTACAGAGATTGTTTTAATAATTTGAACTTATGACCTTCAAGTTACTTAACAATAATTTTTACCATTAAACATTTATAAATAAGTCTTAAAAATATTAAGATCTGAATCTTTGAAATGCGTCAATCTCACTACTAGAAGAAGAAGAGGAGGGAAGAGGGAGCAAATGAAAGGAAAAGAAGAGGCTTCAAATTTTCATTAATGTTGATGTTCATCATATATGATAATTTCAAATTGAATAATAAATTAAAGACTTCCCTATTCATCTTAACCCTAGGAACCCTCTTGGACAACTTTGGCGTCCCATGCAAAATAAATAATGCAATCAAAGCACTACACCAATAATGGCCTTATTTAATTTCTTCCCACAAGTGGCAAGAATTAAAAAAACTGGAAATTATTAATTTCCTATTATGGATTACTGAACTCATGAAAGATTAATTTATATATTTAATCCATACTTTACACCCATGTAAGATGTAATCTTTTAAGTTTTACGTAATTAAATATATCGCCTCCGCTCCGCACATATGTACCTACAGAATATTATATTTGCGGCATATGCATCGCGTAGATTCTCTCTCTCACACACACACATATTGATATTGTATGAGAATAGTTCTTCTTTTTTTTTTTTCCCCTGTGACGTGCGGAATAAATGATATTTTAAAAGTTTTTGAACGAATGCATTTGTTTTTATAACATTTTAATTATATTGAAGTCAACAAAGATGGGAAAATTTTAAAAATTTGAACGGAACATTGAAATTGTGGAAAATAATTGAAAGAAAATATTGCATACAGCCTATAAAATAAAATTTCTACTATTGTCTTATGAATAATATGACTCTATTTAAGCGTTACATTTTTTTTTTCCATCTTTCCGGCCTTAGAAAAATCATTTTTGGCTTGACTTGGGTGCTGGTAGGTGAACCTCTTTGGTCATGTTCCTTTCTCAAATTCATCATCCATTGAAGCTTCAAAGCCCTTACCTTCCCTTCTTCGTGTAATGTTTCTTTATATCACTTGCCAAGATTGAATTGAATGTCCAAGATGAGATGATTGTCTAATTCAACCCAATGCCATGGAGAAACAGAAAATCCAACACACACCCATTCTGCCAAATCCTCCTTCAAATCCTCACTCTCTTCCATCTGCTTAATGGAAAATTCTGTGCTCTGGGAATCAACTACACAATCCGACTCATAGATCCCAGCATTCAGCTGGACATGAATAGCGAGGGCGAAAAGGGGAAATAAGGTGTATTATACATTTTAAATAGCTTCAATATTATACAGATTATAAAATTATACATATGCGTGTAGACGAATAGCTAGGAACCCGTCGCGTCTTGGTATATGACCAGAATTGGGAGGAGCCCAACATGAACGGCTAAGAACTTTGGTTTGGTCTTTACTTTTTAATATAATATCCCATTTACCAACCAACAAGAGTTGGTGTAATTAGTAAGAGTCAATTCATAACTCACAAGTTCGTGAGTTTGAATAGTACTGTCAATATGGGGATTTTGTTGGCAAACGATTTGTAAGTTACTTCTTTTGTTTCTAAAAAGAATTAGAGGATGTTTTCAAATATACCCTAATAAATGACTAAATCATAAAAAATTGCATCTAGAATGATACAATTATCTACATCTTAACTAAGTGAAATCGGAAAGGAGAAAAAATTTAGACATCAACCAACTTTAACTACTTTTTTTTTGGTATTCATGAATTTTAAAACTGTCTATCTAATTAGTAAAGGAAGAAGCGTTAAATAAAGTGAATTAAATAGAAGGAATATCTCAGAACAATTATCATAAATTGTTGACAAATTAAAAGAAAATAACAGAATTCACTTTTTTTTTTAAAAAAAAACTTATATCAATTATTTGACAAAACTCCTAAAATTAGGACCCCAAGGAATGTTCTTTTTGTATAAAATAAACTGTAGAACACTACCTGGATTTATACATATGGGCTGCTGAATATGGCGTCTGCGTGCGTGCCTTTTCCCATTGGGTCGTTGTTTTGAAATTTCGTATTCTTCGCCAATTGCAATTAGGCTTCAGCCGCCATAGTGGCCGCTTGTACTTTCATAGATTGCATTGTCAACATCACTTTTGCCAAATTGCTATTGTATCGTTCAATAATTTGGAAAATGGGAAAATGCCAAGAAACAACTCAATCCCACTGATCGATCTTACTTTTCTCTTCTTCCTCATAATAATTTTGTCTGATGGATGAAACTCTCATTCCTCCTTCTTCGTCGTTTCCAAACACCAATCAATACCTTGATATCATTTGCTCTATTAACCTCTTTTTCCTCCTCCTCCTACTCCTCCTTCTTCTTCCAAAACATGTTTCAACCTCATGTCCTTCCTTTAATCGCCTTCGTCTTCTGGTCATGGCGGATTCTTGACGGCGTCGTTTCGGATCCCCAGATCAATTTTTTGACCAGAGGGTGCAACCCATACAACGAATACCTAGTGGCTAACGTCTCCCTCTTTGAAGCAAACATAAACGCAACACTGCGAGACATCAGAGAGCAGATCAGTGGCCAAAACAAGCACTTCGCCACCGCACAGCAAGCTGCCAGTGGTGGAAACACCGTCTCTAGTCTTTTTCAATGCAGAAGCTATCTCTCCATGCCCGACTGCATCGCCTGCTTCGACGTCGCCGCCCCTCAAATCCTCAGCTGTGCTGCCGGCGAACCGGGTGGCCGTGTTGTCTACGACGGGTGCTACCTCAGGTACGGATTTGGCGTGTTTGCTGCTTCTTAAAGTGACATTTTTATATCTTATCGGCAAAAAAATTTCAATTTTTCAAATTATTTTTTCAAAAAATTTGTATCCATATTTAAAAAAAAAAGATTAAATCATATGAAACCTTGTTAAATTTTGACCCATATGCAAACAACTCCATTAAAATTTTAAAACTTGATAAAAGAATTTTGTTAACTTCTAAGTCTGTGATGTGTATGTGAAGGTACGACATTAGTGTCGCTTTCTTTGGAGCTACAACACAGTCTATCAATAGTGCATCGTGTGGGAATCAGACTATAACAGAAGAACCTGCTATTTCATTTACCTCAGCTGTTCAACAAATTCTAATGAATCTCCAAACAGCAACTCCCAGAATCACTGGCTTCTCTGTAGCTACCAAGGCACAAGTTCCTACTAATGGTCCAACTATTTATGCATTTGCTCAGTGCACAGAAACTATCACTCAGAGTGAGTGCCAGAACTGCTTGAATGTTCTGTACAACAATATGCAGAGTTGTCTTCCCAATTCAGAAGGTAGGGCTTTTGCTGATGGCTGTTTCTTGAGATATTCCACAACCTCCTTCTTTGCCGATAATCAGACTATTGATATCGCACCCTCCTTCAAGCAAGGTACATATTGGTCTTCACATCATTTATATCACACTCAGCTTTGCCTTGGATGCATTTAGATGACAAATTTTTTAAACTACATTAATAATGTAAAGTATCATACTTGTTTTTTTCCCCAAGAATTATTATTATATGTGGCAATGACTCATATTGTGAATGACTTTGAAAATCCGTTCTACATTTTCCCGTTTTTTAGGTTCAAGCAATAATAAGGGAGCCATTATAGGAGGTGTTGTTGGAAGCGTAGTAGTTCTTGCTTTGATCTTTGTTGCATTGTATGTCTGGGTGGGACGACTAAAAAGGCCAACTAGGAGGGTTCCTGGAGGTGAGCATATTAAAATGACTTCGACTATTATATATTAGTTTTTAATGATTTAATTTCGGGCTTTTGTTTGTCTATTTTTCCATGAATTTAAAGAAATAAAATCTTGATTTTGTTTTTCTTTCTTTCATAATTTTGGGAAAAGAGACCTCCTCTTGACTAACATTCTCCTTAATAGGAGACGTTATTGGAGCAACCAAGTTGAAAGGCCCGGCTATTTATAATTATAACGACCTGAAGACTGCAACCAAGAACTTCAGCGAAGAGAATAAGCTAGGACAAGGAGGATTTGGTGTTGTGTATAAGGTAACTTTATTTTATTTTCAGATATGTAATTTCATCAAGATAAGCAAGGATGCCTCTAATTAAATGAGTTTTATATGGTGTTGTAAAAAGCTAAACTTTAACGTTTGAAAGCATGGCTTTGAATAGAAGTTTTAATAATGATGAATAGGGCACTTTGAAGAATGGAAAAGAAATTGCAATCAAGAAATTAACATTTCGCCATTTCACGAGGATGGAGGAGGAATTTGAAAATGAAGTGAAGCTCATAAGCAACGTTCATCATCGGAATCTTGTTCGACTCCTGGGATATTGTATTTATGGCAAAACTAGAATTCTTGTTTATGAATACATGAAAAATAGCAGTCTTGACATATTCTTATTCGGTAACCTTCTCTCAATTAACCGATCTTATGTACTGTTTTTCGTAAAATTAGTGGCATTATCAACGTATCATCATCTCCTCCAGCTAACGAACTTATTCACATGGCATAATTTTATTCGACTGAGTAAAATCCAAATCTATTTTCTATTTAAATTTTTTAATCAAGTAACACTTCTTTGTTTCTTTTGATGCTTTTAATCCTCCTGCTCAAAGTTTGAAAACTTGAAAATAGGTAAAATGCAAGGCTCACTCAATTGGAAGCAACGACATGATATAATTTTAGGCACTGCAAGGGGTCTCGCTTATTTGCATGAGGAATTCTATGTTTGTATCATACATAGAGATGTAAAGCCTAATAACATTCTCTTGGATGAGGATCTTCAACCTAAAATTGCTGATTTTGGGTTGGCAAGGCTTCTTCCTGAGGACAAAACTCATCTTAGCACCAACTTCGCTGGAACATTGTAAGTTGAAACAATCACGTTTATCTGATTTTCTTAACTTTTATTACACTACAATTATACGTAGCATGCTGATAAAATCTATAGTATCATCACTAGAATAATGTTGTTGCACTAATGAATACTTATAACGTTTGGAAAAAAAAAAAAATTCATGTGTGTGTGTGTGTGTCTAGCAAAGCATGATATTACGTTGTTAATAATTTGTTTCATATTTTGTCATCTTTTAAATTTTATGTATACTTGTTTGTGTCAATATTTTGGCTAAGTCATAAATATTATACATATTTTTCAGAGGATATTCAGCACCGGAGTATGTAATTCATGGCCAATTATCTGAGAAGGTTGATGTTTATAGTTACGGTGTTGCAATCTTGGAGATTATAAGTGGCCAAAAAAATAAGAAACTAGGAGTTGATGGTGATATTGAAGGCGAATTCCTCCTCCGAAAAGTAAGAAAATTCCTATGGCTAAATAGAAAGACACATTTTAAAGAAAATTTGGATAGCATTTTCAATAACTCAACACTACTTGATTGACTTTATTAGAATATTTATTCCTTCTTTATTGCAGGGCCAATCATAGATATTAAGAAAACGATAATCTCATTTTGTTTTGCCCCTTTTACCCCTCTTATTCAACTTCACTTTAATCCCACTTGTTAGGCTTGGAAGTTATATGAAGAAGGTACACATGCGGAGCTAGTGGACGATACCTTAGACCCTAATGATTATGATGTAGAAGAAGTGAAGAAAGTCATAGAGGTTGGTTTGCTTTGCATCCAAGCATCTGCTGAGATGAGACCAACAATGTCTGAGATTGTTGCTTTGCTCCAAACTAAGGACTTGTTAGAGAATATGAAACCCACTATGCCTATCTTGATTGAAACAAATTAGAGACTTCTCTACTTTTCCCATCTTGATTGTAATGGAATTTAAAGTTATGGATGACTTTGGGTTCTGAACACCAGATAGGAAAATAGAAGACGAAGGTAAAAATAGAATAGATGATTGTCTTTTATTCCATTCTTTAGCATTTTTTTGTAATTATTATTCATCAATATAATCCGAGCAGGTGTACATGTGATTTGTCATTCGGGAATACAGTTTTGATAAAAGCCCACTAAAGCATATAGTATGCTTATGCTTTTTATTTAAAAAAAAGAGTGACATCAAGAATGCATTTTTCAATTGATAAAGCTAACTTTATAACTAATATGAATTTTTCATTGATATTAGTTATTTCTCATTATGAAAATGGTGCCCTTATATTTGAAAGTTCCTCTTCGAAATGGTAAATCAAGAAAACTGACCAAATTTTGTGCAAGCGAGATAAGGTGGCTGACAAGAAAATCAAATTAAAGTAAAAACTCTCTTAATGAATAAAAATCAGTCAAGTTTATAGCTTGAATTAAACTTTTTATGTTTTCATTAATATTGATATTGATCATAATGATAATTTCAAGTCCAATAATAAATTAAAGGCTTCCCAAAATAAAGCCACTTTTTTTTTGAACTTCTGGCTTTTGATTTTTTTTTTTTAAATTTAAATCCTTTGAAACTGACTTTTTAATATATCATTCAAACAAATTTTTGTCAGATTGTCCTTTTTATAAATGCTCGTACCAAACAGACCAAATTTTGTGCAAGAGAGGGCAATGCAACGTGGTTTAAGACGAAAGAGAACCCAAATCCGTAGAACACTCCTAAAGAAATCCGTAAAGTGAGATTTAGCGTACAATACCCATACTAGGTGGGGTTTGGGTGGGAGCGATTTATATAGCATTCCCTCTACAAGCGGAGCAATTGTTTTTAGGATTTGAATCCGTGATCTCCAAATCACATAGCAAGAAAATCAAAGTGAAAAATCTCTCAATGCATACAAAAATCAGTCAAGTGCATAAATTTTTGAACTAGACTTGCTTCTCCATGTACTACATCATTGCCTCTCCTCTTCTCTTTCTTTCTCTTCCTTTTCCAACCCTTAGATCAATATTTTAATGGTTGAGATTTTAATCTTTTCAAAATTATTATTCAAATGTGAAATTATAAAAACAAATAAATAATAAAATTAATAATACTACGAAAATTTAATTTCAACAATGTACAAATGCACTAAAGACTTTTAAAAATATTTATAAGTAAGTTTTAAAAACATTAAGATCTGAACCATTGAAATGTGTTAACTTAACGGTTAGAAAAAGAAGAGAAGGGAAGAGGATGGGAAGGGAAAAAGAGAGAGTTTAAATTTTATTAATATTGATCATATATAATCATTTTAAATTGAATATTAAGTGACTTCCCTAATTATCTCCACTTTAGGAACCTCTTAGACAACTTTGACCTCCATACAAAGACAATACTCTGTAGGTCATAGTCCTATTTTTAAAATACTAACATTTAATAGTATTTAATTATAAATTCACAGTAAACAAAAAAAGGACACATAGTTATGTGTAATTGGAGAACTTGACATAATGAATATAAGGAACTTCACGTAAGTTTTTTTCCCGTGCAAAACAAATAATGCAAGCAGAATCAAAATATATAAAATATGCACCTGCAGCCCACTTGCAACAATAATGGCCATATTTAATTTCCTCCTACAAGTGGCAAGAATAAAAAAATGGAACTTATTCAATTTCCTCATATGAATTACTTTCTATATGGATCCATGGGATGAACTCATGAAAGATTAATTTCTATATATTTAATCCATACTGTGCGCCCACATAAGATGTCATATATTTTATGTTTTACGTAATTAATTATATTAACTCGTCCTCCACTCCACACATACCGTACGTGCTCACCCAAGATTATATTTACGACGTACGTCAAACTCAAACATATATATTGATATTGTATGAGCATACTTTTTTTTTTTTTTGTAATGTGTGGAAGAAATGATATTTTAAAAGGTTTAAGCAATGAATTTTTATGACATTAATTATATTGAAGTCAAAATATACATGGGGAAATTTTTTGAAAAACAAAATCTGAACGGAAGCCACTAATCGAAGGGAAAAAAATTGCCTATAGGCTATAAAATTGCTGATGTCCTGGTCTTATGAATAATATATGAGTCTATATAAGCGTTATATTTTATATTGATTGGTTAATAATAACGTAATAACAATACATTGGAAAAAGATTCTCTCTAGGTGATAAGCCTCTCAGAGCATATATATGAATATGCTCATAAAAAAGTGAGCATGTAATGCTCATATCAATTTTGACCATTCATATTGATTTGGATTAGATGGTTGATATTCAATTTAATTTTTTTAATATTTTAAATAATTTTTTATTTTACTAGATATAGTATTTAAATTCAATTTAATTTTTTAAATATTTTAAATAGTTTTTTTATTTTACTAGATATAGAATTTAAAATAAAAGTAATCTGGTATTTTTTTTTAAGAAAATAAATTGACAAGGTGTTTTAACAGACTTGGAAAAGACTGATGAGCGAGGCCAACTCAGAAACTATATCCGAATACATCACATGCGTACACCTAATAATTTAATACAAACAAAAAGTCAAAAGTTTTGGATGGTGGTGATGGAGAAGCAACCATTGCAGATCATGAATGGAAAAATCAATAATGACGCTGTCTTGGCAGCCAGTTGACAATTTCTTTTTTTTGGTTTAATGTTTGAGAGAGCTTTTGGTGTAACTTTTCGGTATGAAGTATCTTGAAAGTTAAAGTAATTTTTTCTGGCTTTTTCTTTTTTTAACCAATAGGGGTTGTATCAAACGAAAAGAACTGGTCCCTCGTGATAAAACTACGCTATCAAGAGGTATGAAAATTAATTATGTAGAAGAAGATGGAGAAGGGTATTATTGTAGGTTCTATAATACATGTTTTTTCACCTGTAGAAGTTAGAGAGAGGTCTGCCATTATAAACGGAACATTGCAACTTTGATTTTACTTGTAACCTGCTTGTCCTTTAATTCAAGAAAACGTTGGGGGGGGGGGGAGAGTGAAGAAGATGTAGGGGTGTTTGAAAACGACTACAAAAATTTTATGACAGTGTAGGTTCAATTCCTATATAAGACTGATCAGTGATCACGACTATGGTAGACCCTAACTCAACCAATGAGGGAAATAGACCCCCCGGGGGGTTTCTGTAGAGCTGAATGGCAAACTCAATTATTTTTATATATTTTGATATCTTTTATATAGGTTTTTGTCAACTTAATTAGTCTTTTTGACCTTAATTGATTGGTAATTGATTTTAATATATTTTATTTTGAATTATTATTTTATAGGGGCAAAATTGTCATATTTTGGTTTAATTGTGACTAATTGATTTTTGAGGACAATTAATGCTACCTTATCCTTGAATTTTGCTTGCAGGGTTTTGGAAGAAATAAAAATGAAAAAAATAAAAAAAAGAAAAAAATAATTAAAAAGAAAGGGGCAAAACGTTGCGTTTTGCCCCACCCCACTAATAACCTAATATCATATTATTCTTCATCAGCAAGAGGGGGACGCCGAGCCAGAGAACGAAAAACAGAGCAGAGCACGCCGAAGGAGACCCACAAGCTGGACGCCGAACACACACGAAACAGGGGAGGCGAAGACGCAAGCGGTACCAGCGGAAAAACGAAGAGGCCGAACGGAAACACACACGCGAGGCGGCGACTGACGAGCTGAGGCGGAGACGCAACGCTGAACGAGTGAGGCGGCTTCATCTTCTTCTTCTCCCGGGTGCAGCGAAACAGAGACGTGAACCATTCAGCGTGAACAGTGTTCTTCCATGGCTGACCGTAGCAAAATACTAATTGTGGCAGCAAACTTGATGGCAAACCGTGGCTAAGATCTTCTGATTCTCCAATTCAACAATAATGGCAGGAGCTTGGATATTTAAGGGGGAGTTCTAGTTGCTTTAATTTCTTACTCAATAATTGTTTAACAATTCCTAGGTCTTAGGATAGTTTTTCTGATTGTTGGGATAATTGTATTGCTTAATCTGATTATATTTAGGGATTATTGTGACTGAATTATTGCTTAGTATTTGACATTGGGCTGTTTATAGTTTTAATCTCAATTATAATGTTGTGGTTATGACATTTGTATTGATTTTGGAATTAATATATTGTGATTTTCTAAGGTGGCTTAGAATTTTGGATCATATAGACTCTTACTAGCTTTAATTCTGTTATTTTGGATTTAAGAATTCTAATTAAGTATTGGTTTTTAGCATCCTTAATCCCATTTTACTATTCTGGTTGCAGTTAGTAAGTTGGGATTTTAGGAAAATATTTTGTGGCAACTCGAGGTGGCTCGGTTGTTGGATCAAAAGCTTAATTATAATTCTTAATTCATTGTTTTTAACTCCCACATCTTTTAGAGTGATGATTGCCTGCGTTGTTGAATTGGAGGATTGATTTTTATCAGTATTATCTGTGTGTCTCATTTTCATTTCTTTAATCTCCATTCATTTTAATCACTTTTATATAAAAACAAAAAAAAGTATTTTAATTTCAATTTGATTCGTAGTATTTAATTAACAGCTTTTCAAAATCAAAAATCTCTTTTTTATAGTTTAGGTTACTTGCATTCATTTACTAGGGTTTAATTTCGTTTTCGGCTCCTCAAAGTGAAACGACCCGAGTTTTGCACTATATTGTATTAATTCGGTTAATTTTTGGAGTAACCCCAAAGCGACAATTAAGGGAAGTTCAACTTCAAGTGGCACCGTTGCCGGGGAGCCAAGAAATTGGTTCTCTAGTAATTAAGTGTCAAGTAGCATTGATTGGGATTCATTTGTTGAGCCTTTTTAGATTTTATTTTTGTTAGTTTTTGCATTTCCTTTAGTAATTTGCATTTATTTCTTTTGATTTTTCATAGGATTTCTTTCCTTTGCATAAAAAAAATTCAAAAATACAACTAAATATCTTGATTTTTCATTCTCATACACATACACTTGCATTGCATTGCATTCATCTGTTTTCTTTTGTTTAATTGCTTCTGGTTGATTGATTGTTTATGCCAAGAAAGGGTAGGTCTAAAACCCTAGTTCCTTCCAATCTTGAGCTCCAAAGTTCTTTAAGGGAAGTTAGACAAGACCAAAGGTAGAAAGG